GGCGGGGCCGGGGCGCGGGGGGGGGGGGGGGGCGAGCGCCGGCCGCCTGCCCCTGCCTCCGCACTGCCGGAGAAGCCAGCAAAGAACGACGGAGTTGTTCGGCGCGCAGGACTCCCGGGTGAAGCAGCGCGTACTGGTGGCTGCACGGCCGGGACACGTCGAAGCCCGTTCACTTGAAACTAACGCTGGTTACCAGGCCCGCTCCCCCGGCCGGGCCCTGGCAGCGGCCGAGCGGCTCCTGGGAATCTTGTCATGCGCCAGGAAAACTAACTATTCCCTGCCGCTAAATTCAAGCTGAACACCTCTTTCCGAAACTAGCAATACTACATACAGACTCGGAGCAATCAGAATTAGGTTAATGCACTTGAAAACAAACAGCTGGATTTAAGAAAGTAACTGTCTACATTTAAATGCTAATAGGAAACAGAGGAAAGACAAAATCCTCCAGTTTTGCCTGAGATATATCCGACAGATGAATTGAACTTGAATTTTCAGGATACATTTAACTCATTATCCAAAGGTTTCCAGCAGGTTTTGAATTACGTGCTTTTTCGCAAAAGCAAAAAACCCTAGGTACGTACTTCGGTGTCAAGCTTTAACATGAAGTACATGAAGGGAGACTGAATGCCCTGTTTGGAAGAATTGCTGAGAAATTCTAAACATCAAATGACTGTGCAACAAAATAACTGAAAGTCCACCAAAATGACTGCAAGCTGGGCATAGTGGGACAAAATGCATTTGGTTGTACACAGAGAAGGGCTCCACATGGCTCCGCGCGTCAGGAAACGGGTGCAGGGAGAAGTTGGTATGGAAGCATCCATGGAAATAGCATCTCTACGTGTCTGCTATTTAATGTAGATTCTGAATTTAAAAATGAGATAAATACTGCTGGGAGGTAACATTAGAATATCTTCACTCTGCATTACACATTGAAAACCTGAGAAACAGTAATTCATCTTTGTTACTCTGGCCCTTTACCGTACCTTAGAGCTTGTACTACAGCAGAAAAGCGTTCTTATCAGGGCGCTGACAGCTAACAGTTTCTCTAAGCTGCCCGTTCTGCTATCTAGGCTCTTCACTCCCCTCTTCTAGGAGTAGCTTCACCAGCCTCCTTTTGGCCTCCCCTTCCCATCTTGGCTGGCTTCCAAAGGTGTTCACGAAACCTTCATTACTTATCACAGGACTCTACCATCTTGATGCAGTAAATACCGATTTAACGATCTCACATGAAATTAAACAGCTAATCACAAAAGTAATTCTAATAAAGTGTCCTTATAGCAGTGAAGTAATCTTGTTCTGCAGACAGTTAGCTGGAGTAGTAACTTTTCTTTGAAGCTGAGTGGGTTTTTTGTTGTTTAGGGTACCCTTGACTCTTTGAGCACTCCCTTAATTTGTCTTGTAGCATCACTTCAAGACAGCCTGTATTTCTGTTACAATTTATATTACCCAAATTGTGTTTTCATGCATTTATCTCTTCCTGTTGGCATATTTAGTCAATACGTTCCAAAACCTCAGTGTTTTTCCTCTGTATAAGATAACATTTTTGTACTTCTTACGCAGCCCCTCTTTGGTGGCGATGCCGAAACCTCTGTTATAGCTACAACCTATAAATTCATTTGCTCCAAGTTAGATTTTCTTCCCTCAGGCATCCCAGCTGGTCTTTATACAAAATAAAGCCAAAGAAAAGAAAAAAAAAAAATCAACCAGGAGGTGATTTTCACTTGCAAACTGCAAGGAACTGTATATAATTATAAAAAAAGTAAAAGTATGGTGATCTGTACGTAAGAGCCTAGCCTCACTTCTCATTCACACAGATTAATTCTGAATTTTCTCAAACAGGCCTAATCTGTTAGTTGAAGCTGAGGAGAAAGATGCTAGTACTTAGTCACTAAACATCCTCTGAATCTGGTTTGAAAGGAACGGTTGTTAGCTCTTGAATTATAGATGAAGCGGTATTGCCGCATGTATTATCCTGTCAAGTGTCAGGGTGGACTAGCGCCTTCTGGCAGTAGTGCTGCAGTCAGTTTCTTTCCCATTTGACGATATGCACTGCAACTTTAAAGGGAAAGTGCAGGAATTACATCCAGTTGTCTTTCTCATCCCAGTTACTGAAGGATAAAGTAAGTTTCGGTTTAGGATTTCTTGATTTATGACTTTCTACTGCGAGATGCTTTTATTTCAGTATAGTCACACAATTTGTTGCTCTCCGTACGGTACAAAAGTAACATTCTTCTCTAAAAATAACCTTCATTTGTGGGCATATTGAGCTGAATAAAACTTGAGTATTCAGTTTGAAATCAGAGATTGTAATGTGAAAACAACTTGAGTTTGAAATCAGAGATTGTAATGTGAAAAATACCTTTGAACTGAAGTTTCCGAGGAACCTCATCGACTTGGACCTCCTTAGAGCAGGGGCTTGCACTAGATAACCTCTAAAGGTCCCTTCCAACATAAATTATTCTGTAATTCCTTGAGACTCTTAAGTAGATGTACCACTGCATAAGGAAAGGAAAAAAACCACCACAAAAACTTTAGACTAAATCAAAGGCTTTTTTTTTTTTTTCAGTGAGAGAATAATGCAAAAATTTATTTGGTGTAATGGGGAATAATCAGAAGACTTTTTCAAAACGTTTTTCTAGCAAGAAAAAGATCAAACACCCTGGAGTCAAAGCAGATGGTCTGGCTTAAAACTGCTAATAGCGCTCTCCATCTCTTTCATGCTGCCAATGTTCAAAAGATTGGATCTCCAGTCCAATTTCACCACCTAATATGGAACAACCAAAAAGAGATTTCCGTGATTATATTGTTTGATAATGGAGAATCAAACATCTGATAATTCTGAAGGTTTCACTTACAGTGGTACATTTGGGTGTGAAGTCTCACAAACTATTAGGAAATTGTGTGAATTCACAATGTGTTATGAATTTACTTTTATTGTATACTATAACTTTACTACTGTTCTTCCCCATACTTTTTTTGTTCTTAAGTATGTCATACTGAATTATGAGTAGAATTTTACAGGATACCATAGCATTTTAAGCCAGGAAGTGAAAGACTTCTATTAATAATCTTTACAATCTCTCTCTGACGTAAAAAAATAGTATGCACAGTTTGTAGATTGTCTAATTGAGACCTAAGTACTAAATGATAGTTCAAGGTTAAATAATGACTCAACAGCCAAAAAGGGCAACTGAGTTATAAAACAAGAAGCCTCCAACCTATCTTTTTTATTTCCTTGCACAAGGTATTCATACCCTTATTTCAATTACAGTATATTTTCTTCTCTAAAAAAGCAAAAACCTAATTAAAGTAAAAATCAATTTACTAGACTAGTCAAAGGGATTTAATGGGAATTATTCCCTGTACAAGCATAGTTTCTATGCATGGCCAAATTGGGTTATGCAGGTCTTTAAATCTTGTTGGTTAAAAATCCCACAAAAATAATTGACCAGGAGTTATATATACTTTAAAATAAATTTCCTATGTAAGTAAAGATTGGTACTATTACAACACTTATTTAAAACCTGTTTGCAATCCAAACTGATTGAAATAGCAACTCTCAGGCTGCCTTACTCGCTTACACTGTTGTTAGCACTTCACTGTTATAATGGGAGAAAAACAATTGTAAAATTGTACAGACAGCTCCCTATTTCTACTCCTCATAAACCAAAATGAATATAAAGAAAAGCTAATTGCTACTGTATTCCAAAACCTGAAAGCCAAAGAAGCTCAGGCAGAACAGAATGGAACCATTCCAATAACTTGAAATTTCTGAAAAAAACATCTGGATTGCCAGTTTGCCAGCACACTTACATACATTTCGTAGCTATGGAGTAAACAACATGGCTAACCCGCTGTTAACTGCGTATGCTCTGTCTAGGCCACATCCTGCAGAACTTAAAACGTTAGCTAAGGCTCGAGTTTAAGCCATCACAGGCAGGTATCAGCATATAAGTTTCTAGTATTTTCTGAAAACTAAAACAAAAAGCATTGATTTGTGGTCTAATTTAGTTAAACATTTTCTCAACCCTCACTGCCACCAGAACCCACCTCCCATCGTTTAGGTCCCAGGCAGGCAATCTACACTACCCTATTTATACAGCAGCCCCACCCTGTGATTAGCAGAACGCTTTACATACTTCTGAACAGAAAAAGTAACAGGAAATTTGGAGCCGTGTTTTCCTTTCTGCTTTCACCGTGCATCCAAACAGCTGCCTGCTCTTTGAGAGACAAAGCTTGCCCCAGTGTGGAAAATACTTAATGAAATCCTGCAAAAGACACCCGATTTTCTTTTTTTTTTGTAGTCTCTACCTCGCTCACCCTGGCAGAGCTCTTTCACTGCGTGTCACGACCAGTGCAACGGCGTACGTTTCCCCTATGGAGAATAACAAACACGTCTGCAGACACAGGAGCTGTACCGAGTCACGCAGAGCCTAAAAGAAGTAGCGGGAGGAGCAGTGGGATTTTTGTTTGTTAGCGTAAAAATTAGGGGCACCCCCCCCCCCCCCCACCCCGGGGGAATAAAGGGGTTAATTACAGAGAGGGAGGCTGGCACAGGCAGAATGAAATACAACAGCTGGACCTTTGGATGCTCATGTGGCGCTAACCTGTCGTCTTGCGTTAAGGAGGATTAGCGGACGTCCCCCTGCACTAACAGGTGTAAATAAGTGTTTTGCCGTGAGGCCGCGGCCCGGGGCGGAGGGGACCCCGCCGGCTGCTGCTGCGGGGCAGGTCGGGCGCCGACCGCCGGAGGGGGGAGGCCTTCCGCTCGAAGGGGCAGGTTCGACTCGGATAACCCGTAGTCAGACGTACGGGCCTGGTGGAGAGGAGAGCGGAAGGCGACCCCTTCCTTCTCCTCAGGCGCCCCACTGCGCGGCTCTCTGC